CCCCAAAACCCCAAAACCCCGATAGGACTTAAAATAGAATAAATCAAGATAAATAAATTGATAATTCTAAAGGATAAAATGAAAGACATGCAGGGAGGAAATACATACACTCTTAACACATAGGAACAGGATTATAGCTACTTGCTTAATAACAAAGCTTCTGAATCAGAGAAGTATTATACTTTAAACGACAGTTTGTATATTTCAACAATTGATAACACTCTAACTAATTTAAATCTTGGTTCCCTTAATCAATTTCTCAGTAACTTTGAAGTTTTTTTTATTTTATCTAGCCCCCGATCAAAGTATATTTGAAATTCAAAAGACTATTATGGATACTGAGAAAAGAACATCAGGTTTTAAAGATTCAACAAGAATGGAATCAAAATTTGAATCTTCGAGGATTGGACTCATGGTAAATAATTAATGTTTACAGCATTAGCAAAATATGTAAAGAAAAAGTAACTCTCTTAATTCAAGCATTAATGGTGCTCAAAGGCAATCGGATATGGCATCATGCTAGGCTTTAAATCCATTATTTATTGCTCAGATCAAATAGAAATATAATGACAGTATTTTTTAGTAGTTTTAAACTTGTTTAATTAGCTGAGTACAGTAGCAATTATGTCCATGAGTTTCGTAGAAAAGAAGTTGTCACTTTTAGCTAAATGAAGAAGAAAAACTAGGATCGAACCAAGTCAATGCTAGAACATAACAGTAATCAATTACTTGAATAAACTGGGGATTCCTATCAAAGCATCAATAACCGCTCATTTGACCTAAGAAACCGATAAAAGTTGCCAAGTTAGTATAAAACTGAAGGAGGATCAAAGCATCAATAAGTATAATCTGATTATTAGATTTTTGCCTAAGCTTAAACCTTAATGAGTGGATCTGGTGACTGATCTTAACCCTAATCATAGTCATCAAAAGTTACAGAAAGGCAAATGCAAAACTAAATAATTGCTGAGAAGATTTAATCTTACAAATCAATGCTTAAAAAAATCTAGCCAAGAACAAATAGCTATAGACAAAATTAGTAAACTAGCAACCAAAAAAATATAAAGTTTCACGCAGATGAAGATAAAGTCGATGATCTACCTCTTTTTAATGATAAGGCTGGTAAAAGAGTTGTTATGAACAATCTTTATAAGATTAAGCTAAAAGTAGATGAGATTTAGAAGAGAGATAGTGGGAATTAAAATGCAGATGCTCAAAAAAAATATTAAAGTGCTGCTGCAGGAGGAATTCAATCCTTAAATAATATGAATGGACCTTCATCTAAGCTTAATTATGATAGGTTTCAAGATTTGATAAAGAAATCAATAGAATACGGTGGAGTTAGGAAGATAAGAATGCTAAAGGAAACCGAAAATGCAAATAAAATTCTAAATGACCCTTAAAATATGGAGGAACTGAAAGTAAATACAAAGGTTCTAGAGAAGTATAATCCTTTGATAACTGATGAACAGTTAAGAATAATTGAGGCGTCAATACCAAAACACACCATGAAGCAATTACTTAATCTAAATAATATGCAGTTTTTAGTGTTTAAAAAAACAGAATAATGGATCAAGAAGAGAAAAAGATAGTAAAATGATATGTCATAAAAGGAAAAGCATGTTGAATTTGCTAAAGAGTTATTTAAAGTATGGGATGATGATAATTCAGGAGTTTTGGAATTAGATGAAATAGCAGAGCCACTTGTAGCTCTAGGTTTAAGTACTGACTCATTATTTGTTGCGAAGCTAATACAATCTCTTGGTAAATCAAGCAATCCAAAAAAGAAGTCTGATGAGGAATTATAAAGAGACTCAGATAAGCTAACATTTACATTAAAGGACTTCGTTAAGATATTCAGAGCTGATAAAGTTGGTGAAAGAATAGCAAAGATAATCAAGAATACCAGTATAGAAAATAAGTATCAGATTCAATAAGCATAATGGTAGAAAGCATAGTAAAAAATGCTAAGAGAGAAGTTTAAGTTGGGTGATTAATAGATTAAGGAGCTTACTCAGTCTCTATAGAATTCACCAAGGATTGCATTTGACTAGTAATCTCCAGACAAAAGTATTTTTCAATTTTTCGATTCAGACAGCTCACCTTTCAATGATTAAAACACTATCCTTATGACAAAGGAATCTGAGGAGCCAGATCTTTTAAATGATGATCTCAGTGCCTAAATTCGACCTCATGACTTACTAAAGTTAATAAGAAGGCAATCTACTAAAAAAGAGACGATCTAATATTTGCAAAAGAGTAATACTCCTTCAATCGCTGAACTTATGGAAATCGTTTACGGATGGTGGAGAGAAATAGATTTACTTTAAAAATTAGAAGTTCATATGGACAGAGTTGCAGACTTATTAGTTAAAAAAGGAATTTCCAATGATGTAGACTCAGCCAAAAAGATTTTGCTAAAATACCTCGAGGGAAGCTTAAAAGGAAACATTATAACAAGAGATGACTTTAATTAAGTATTCTGTAGATGCATTTTTAAAGATTCATTGATTGCAATGACTGAAAAAATAGTCTAAATGGATGAAATTGTTGGAGATATGCCTCTAACATTAAAACTAGGTTAGTATTAAAGAAATCTAATGATGCCTGGACTTTAAAAAGGAGATGATAGAATGTATATAGGCAGAGATATAATGAATGCACTATATGCACTAAAGACAGAAAAAGATCATTCGTTAAAGACTCTAAGATATAAAGAATTTGTTTAAGATCCTCTGGGATAGCTAAGAAGATTTAGAGCATAAGAGCTTTTAAAAGAGATTAAAATAGATGAATTTGATAGAGGAATCAGAATTGTAGACGATCAAACTTACAAAAAAATGCCTTTTTTCTCTGATATTGATAACTCAATATTTGACTAAAAAGTATTGTAGGAGAAAATATTGCCCAAAGAAGGTAAAACTGGTCAAAAAGTAGACTTTCAACTATATCCTACGATATCTATTCTAGATACGAGTGAATCGAAAACTTCAATTAAGAAGGGACCTTCTTAGCCTCTTAGGAAAAATCTCCCAAAGCTTTCCACAATGAGCGCAAAGTTAAATACACCAAATACAGCAAACAGCTCTCCTAAAAACAGCATTTCAAGAAAGAAATCTAGAATTGGAAGTATGGAGTCTAAAGAATAATATAAGCAGCTGTAGGACGATGAAAGATAAGAATCATACTTACTTTATAGATCTCAACTAAATCTTGAGAATAAGGTTGCTGCTGAATCTAAGAACCCAGTAATGGTAGCTATGGTAGGTCGGCTAGTTGAAATGAATGATCATAATAGAGTGGAAGCTGTTAGACTCCCAAATATTTATTAAGAAAAAGACTTAAAGCAGAGAGAAGAGGACAAATGCGACCTTTTAGAGCAGTTTCAAAAGCTATTAGTAAAACATAATGATTTCACCAAAATTAATTGAAAGATCATTTATTTCATTATTTAATGTTTATTCAATTAATGATTCACCATGGGGGTTTTGGGGTTTTGGGG